ACAACTAAACAGCCTAGGCTACTTCTGGACCAAGTTTGAAGCAATCAGCAAGACAACTTTGTGAATGCATTGCCAGTCTCTCCTCTATTGGGAAGAAAGACTAATGAGCCTTAGTGCTATCCTCCAAAATCAGGAAGTTATAATGTCAAGATTGAGAATTTTATTAAAATACAACTTTTAAGACACGTACTTAATATTCACTACCATATGCCCACTGTATGCAAGTGAGGCATAAGCTATGACATTAACCATTTCCTACATTTTTCAGATGCATCTGGTATTTTATCGTGTAAATAAAAAAAAATAAAAAAAAAGAAGAACAAGTGATAAACAAGGCCTTACTTCTTGCTCATGCCTTCAAGAAGAGGAAAAGAGATCTTTTTCAGTTGGTCAGCAAAATCTGGCACATTCACAATTGCTGCACCCACCGTATTGTTTGTTATGAGACACACACAAGCTATGATTTTTAATTGATTTAGCTTTTCTCTCAGCTCCTGAAGACGAACTTCATCTGTTATTAGAGTCTAGAATTGAAACAATAATATCAAATTAGAAATAGAGGGAGAGAGGCAAGGAGAGGGACCGAGAAGGTATCTTCATAAAGTATTAATAATTTTAATCATAAATATGCCAAGCCATAAGTGGCAGGCCACTAAACCCTTTGAATATGTGTTATTGCAGAAAGCAAATTCAGAATGCATTACAGGCAGGTACTAGAGTTGTGTCTGAGGTGGGGAAGAAATGTGAAACCTCCAGGACAAAAACAAATAAAAGGAACACATTTTAGACAAAAGTGCCATAGACTGAAGCATATGGGCAGAGACAAGCAACTCTGACAACCACTAGTTCAAGCACTAATGCATTAATTCAACCGCTAGAGAGGTTTGAATGATTTGTTACCTACCACAGGCAAAAAGGCAAGACCAAGATTGTAAATAACTTCCATGGCAAGATGTAGTTGAAGCGTTTTGTTTCTCTTTAGAGATAAGAGCTCACCCTAAGCAAGGCACTTCACTGAGAAACACAGGGGCATCAGTTTTCAGCAGGCTGATAGTAATTCACACCATATGACAAGGTAGACCCACAAGGGAATACCCCTATCTAGCTTATACTCAAAGCTGGGGGATGTGGGTAAGAAAATAAAGTGATTTCTATTCCTTCTACTGATCCAGAACACAGAATATTCTCGTGTAGTTTGCAAGGTCTCTGCCAGGCCACCATAGATACATAGCACAGGTTCCCACTCTGCAGATGCCCCAGCTGATGTCCTGTTTCAGGCAGCTTCACTAGAAGTTGTAGAAACCATTCAGGTTTGGGAAGTAGAAAAGAGATTCTTGAGGAAAGAAGCTTATACGCTCTGAGAATCCAGGCATCTCTATTTATACACACTAAGAAAGGGCGAATATCCAACTCGGAGCACTTCAAGGCCTGAGTCAACTCTACTACAGAGCACAAGTGACTCCTTCAGTCTGATCCCACCAATACCTGCTACTGGTTAGCCTAAAATGCTATAGTCTTTTTATATAAACACACACACACATATGTGTGCATATATATATATATATATATATATATATGAGTGAGCAGAGTGAGCTATTTTTGAATATTAAAAAGACGCTCACCTACTACATTTCCTGTTATTGACTTGCCCACATTGCATTTCAGAAGCCAAGGCTAAACTACTTCCAAATTTATTACCCCGATGTTAAATAGAATTACATTTTCATTTCCTCAATTGTCATTACCCACAGGATTACTACAATATCAGAATTTTCATAGTTACAAGTTTGAGAATACTGGAATATATTTACCTCTGGAATTCCTTTATGATAATCCCACTGTAACAGTTTCAAGTAGCCATTGTTTAGCACCAGTGTAGGACTAAGATTTGGCTTAGAACTACTATTAGCACCAGCGGATGATGAAGACTCATCAGAAGACGACAATTCATCTTCTATTGATTCCTTTATCCATTCTGTTGTGTGATCCAGAGCACCTACACATCACAAACAAGCACAAGGTTATTTATTCAGCCCTCTACCAAGCTAAGCAGCAGCCCAAGAAAAAAGTTATACCCAGACAAGACTACTGGATTTCTGAAGACCCGACATGGCAGATTGCCGAGTGCTCACAAAAGTCAGTTCTCTCCACCTTTTCTTCCCCTACTAGGGATCTTCCAGCTATCTTGTACAAATCCAACAACAAATTATTAGATTTAAGTCGAAATTTCAGGGAGAAGGGTCTCAGCAGTCTGTATAGGTTCCCAGACCACTTTTATTGTTCAGAGAGGCCACTCAGCAAGCAGGGGATGGGACGGGAACAAGGAAGTGAGGGGACACGAACTTTATTAACAACAAACGAACAGTGTTAAAGATGTCTTCCACAGGCTGCATGTACGAACTCTGTAGGCCATATCAGTGGCTCAGTAACTACCTTTTAGAATCTTCCTCCTCCAGATTTAAGCTTACATTTTTCCACCTTTCAAAGTCTATTTTCTTAAGGACAGCATAGATGCAGTATATGAACCCCACACCAGTGGCTTCAAGCTGACTTTCCAGGATCTAAATAAGTTTTAAAGCGTGCATTTTGCTTTATTAAAAAAAGATCTTTTCTCTTCTTACTTTGAGGCACACTGTTTTTTTCCCCAATCTTTACTTCTGACTAACAGACCTGCTCGGCACAGAAGAGATAAGAGTCTCATCTTTCAGTACATGAAGCCTCCTCCTACAGAAAGAATCATTGTGTTCATTTTCCAGACACTTACCAGTTTAGCAAGTACAAATTGGTCAGAAAGTAACCCAGATTACAGATTAATACTCCCAGGGTAACAACTGACTGTTAGTAGCCTGCTTGCCAAAGATATCTTGCATTCCTTAGACCGCTCACAAATGGAATTCTCCCCTCTCTAAATTGATTATAAAAAGAAGAAAAAAAGTTTGGCTACAGACATCCTTTTCAGTGAAATATGTAACATAATACCTACTTGGTGTTTCTTCAAGTATTTCCTGGAATTTTATTCTTTCATAATCCACCAAATTGCGCTGAAGATACGGCCTAATGTTTTCAAATAAATAGTTAACCATATCCATTTTCATTAGGTCCAGAACATGGAATATTTTTCTAAAAGAAGAAAAAGTTTAAAAATCCAATAGGTGGGATGGTCTCTGTAGAATTTAACAGTACATGGGGGAGAGACCTTCATTACCAGCTGAAAACTGGACTTTCAGTGCTATAAGCTCCATTTCAGCTGTTGTAATAAGCTCCATTATTAGTACTTCAGTACAAAGATTCACCAAAAGACATAACATTATCTATTTAACTCCTTCAAATATCCTGAAGGCCAACGCATCTAAGCCTTGATACAAGTTACCAAGAACAGGACAAACCCTATATGACTAAACACCACAAACCAGTAACAGAAATAGAAGCATTTAAAATTTGTCTCGCTTGGTACATTTCAGCCCAGGCTAACAGATTTTAACTTTTTGGCCACTTTAATTGTGCTAAGAGAAACAGTGCCTCTGACCCAGTTATTTTGGTCTTCGCATGTGATCCAAGTTGTAATAAAAACATAATAGAGCAGTAACTACCAATTGCTCTCAATAATACATCTAAGGAGACATGAGCTGTTTAAGCAAGTGCATTACTCAGCTTCCAATAATAAATCTTCAATAATGAAGTGTCAAGTGCAGTGCCTGGTCTCCCAGAGGAAACATGGGTTTAGTAGCTCCATGACAATCAGTAGAAGCATGTTCCCCTTAGGTTTTGTAAAGGTGAGTAAGACTGAACCAGCAGTCCCAAACACCAGCAATTAGCACAGATTGCTACAGGAGCGCTCTCCCCTCATCCCTCATGTTGTTCAGTGGCTTAGCTACTCAATGTGCTTGTTTTATTAAAAGGAAGGTGTACATAACATGTCAGCCATCACGTGCACCACAGACCCTCCCCTCTCCATGTTTCTCCCAATTAAAAAAACCCTTTAGTTTTAGAATGGGTATGGCTACTACTCGCTGTTAGCAATTTCCCCTTCTCATTGCCCAAGCACTTTTTTGAATATTTCTCAAATAAAAATACCAACCTCAATAACTCTATGATATTGTCAGTTGCTTTTAACTGTTTTATATCATTATCTCTTATTGGAGCACACAACTTTCCCATAGTGTTGATGATATAGTTTGCTAGTCCATGGATATCAACAGCATTATGTTCTGCTTGCTGTCTTATAAGATCTGTATCTAGAACTTCGCAGATCTGATTTTGAATCCTGTTTGCTCCAGGAGCCAGAAAGGAAAGAAGAGTCTGAAGGGAAAACAAACAAACAAACCAATAAAACCTTAAACATTTAACAAACATATTAATAGGAAAACTTTATTTCAGTATGTCAGGTATATTTAGCTGACTGAGATAATTTTCTTTCCCCTGCTACCTTAGATACATTAAGACTGAAACTGTTGAAATAGCCGATGTATCTAAGGTAGCAGGGGAAAGAAACTGTTGAAATAGCCATAGTGCAGTTCTGCAAAACCACTCAAAACCTGTACATCAGAAAGTATGTTAACAACTGAGCTTTGTCAAAAACTGGGTGACTTCCCTGTAAAACAAAGTCAAACATTTACCAGCTTAACACTGTGCCAAGACTGAGAGTTTCTGCCTTAACCTGTGTGTGATGATAGACACATTTAGGCTGGTATGGGCAGGTTTCTACACTTGTTCGCCCTCTGAATTCCTAGTATGTTGCTGATGTGCTGATCGTTACAGATGTGCAGCTTCCAAAAGACAGCTGACTCATAAGTGACAATCATGCAAAGCTGACTGGGCCTACAGCTATTTGTACATGCAGCTGTCCAAGCATCTGTGCAGCAGTATTTATAGTAATATAAAACACTGTAAAATTAGGCTTATTGTGGTTCTGCATAATTACTGTTTCACCTTAGAAGTAAGAACTTGAAGGTGCTTTAGATTGAGACTAAGTAACAGACCTTCAGGGAAATACAAGACCCCCAAATCTAAGATGCCAGAACAATGGGGGAGAGACATACGCAGAAGAAAAAAAAAAAATCTCACCTCCTTAATTTCTTCAAAAAGCTTGATAGCATGTTCATATTCTGGAGGATCTTTATTCAGCTGCGATTCCAAACAATCCCAAAATGCTTTGTGTACAATAGTTTTCACCGTGCCCACCAAGCTGCAAAATAAATAGATCAGTGGCAGTACAACAAAATAAATTTCCAAAGGACAGAATTCACCATTCTGTCCTTATTAAGTAGTATGTTAGTTAGCCTAGCCACTTGCTAGGAAACGTGCATCACATTCCTAACTAACATGACCTGCAACCGTATTGTCTTGGACTGTGGATCGCCAGTTCCTAGACCACAACCCAAGCCAAGAAATCTCCCAAATGCCCAAGATAACACATCAACTCAGCTAGACTGCAACATATATTGCAAAAGAGGCAACTTGGACTCACTCCTGGAGTTGTGGTATAGCATCCAAGATGCTTTCTGTTATCTGCTCTTCCATTTTTCCTCTTCACAAACCTGTTTTCCCCTTTCTGCATAATTCAGGCTCTTACCTGTTCTGTGGAAAGTCTACATGTTTCATGCAGAAGTCTGCATTTACAGCAATTTCATGAGCTAGAGTCAGATTGGTCAGATTTCTTGTAGCTGCCATCATTTCATCAAAGGTAATAATCTTGGGAGGACTTGCTGCTGGGAAAAACAAGATGAATTCAAGTCAAAAGACTATAGTAGCTAAGTATAATTGAAAGCATTAAATCTTAGCAAGCTAACTGCAAGCAACAAGTAATAACATAAATCTTCTGGTATTCTGAAGCGTAGTCTTCCCTCTTATTTCTGTACCTTATCCAAGACACTTTTTCCCCTTTAAAATGGGAACTTACATTTCTTGGATTGCCTACTGACTGTTATGTAAAACCAAACACATTTAGAGTGTGGGCAGTAAGAGATATTTGTTATAATCCTGAGCACATAGTGGCTACATTGCAATTTAACTTTCAGTAGAGACGGTTCAGAAGGTCCCGACTTGAGAAAAGACACTTAATGCTCCCCAGTAGATGCCTCAGAATGCACCTTCTGAGGTCCTATAAAATGGGTATAATAAGAAAACTAAACTGCATGTGAAAGCAAAATTCTGAACATTTCTAAACCCAGAATTCTGTTATTTAGTATTTGCAATTATGCTTTTGGAGTTATGCTTTTGAAGGCTAGTAATGACAGAAGAACAGGAACAAACACTAGGTTACAGTTCCACTAACAAACCACACATGGTCCAAGATTGATTGCAGACATGAAAATTAAATATATTTTAACCATTATTTATTCAAAATACTTTCCTTGTGCAAGTGTATCTTTCCTAATACTTTCTTTTTGTAAAATATACATAGATTAACTCCATATATATTTAAATGTAGTATATTATAAAACTAAAATTACAGACTTAATTTTGAAATGTATGGAGCAAAAGGAAGAAAAAAAACGTTCTACCAAGCAGCTGAATATGTTGTGGGTACCAATGTCAAGATGAGCACAAGACTAGATTGCGCACGGCAGCCACTCCCTTACATTTGCAGAACTGAAGGAGCACACGAGCAGACCCCATGGATGTGGCTGCCCCAGTGGCCCACGCACAAGGAGAGGCCCTACTTATAGCAAGGGCAAAGCCATGTCTTTCTGCCAATATTCTCTGAAACACAAGTAAGAGCAAAACGGGCTTACAGACTGGGGAACTGGGTTTGCTCGAGGAATCGCTGTTGAAGCTCTGTCGCGAGCACTCGGAGTCACTGGAAGAAGCGGTGCTTTCTGAGAGGCGCAAGGAGTCCGAATCGCTGCTCTGGTCCTCCTCGAGAGGCATCGCGACTCCCTTCTGCTCGGGCAGCAAACCAAAACCTGCGGACAAACACGCGTTCCGTAAAACCGGTGCCTTCTGGGATTCTTTGTTCCACGACACATGTTGACCATCACCTTTTTAAAAAGGTTACAGAAAGGAACTGGGCTGTCATTAACAACAACAAGCAGCTATTAATAAGCTATATTTACTTTGCAAGAGCTTTGTATCTGGGCTTCTGTTTCATACCTTATTATCTGCAACATAAGGAGATATGTTAGCTTGATTTCAAAGGTAAGAGGCCAGCTGCCATAATCCCCAAAGCTCCCTGTGGTGAGGATCCACAAAAGCATTTCCCATGATCACAGAATCACAATGATTGGAATAGACCTTCAACATCGAGTCCAACCACAAGCCCTTCAACACCATGCCTGCTAAACCATGTCCCTAAGTGCCTCATCTACATGTTTTTTGAGCACGGCCATGATGGCACCATTCCCCACCTAGCAATACAATAACTTGATCTGAACACAAGTGGCGCTGGGAAAGAACAAATGCATTGACAAATACCCACTCTTCCTAGAAGTGGGGCTGAACTTAAGCCAAATAGTAACTCTAAGGCATCTAACATTTCATCCAGCCTACCTGACAACATCAAGAAGCACCATGCCCAACACTACTTGTCTCCATACAGCAACTGCTTCCCAGCCAAATAATCAGCAACTCCAGAGGATTCAGGCACTTGCACAGTGCTGGTGCCCATGAATAATAGTTGTAAGGCAGGAAATGAAAAATCCTTTAACCATTAAAATCACGAACCGGAAGGCAACAGTCATGATTACTCCCCAAGGAATTTGCCCCAGATACCAAAGCTAGTTGTCCATCTTTCATTACGGCCATGAAATATCCCATAGCAGAGCTATAAACAGTCACCAACATCATTAGCTCTTCTCAAACACGAGGCCGACAACTTTTCCATTTATGAGTTTAAGCTAAAAACCAAGTAATGGAACTTCCTTTATGATTAAATAGCACCAACGTTAGAAAGCAAAAAACATAGTAACTCTGTCAAATTTGGAAAAAGCCACTCTTGGCAGAAAGAAGGGATGCCCTTTGTGTGACCTTAAAGGAAGAAAATGGGGTGGCGAGGAAGATATTTTGTTTAGTTGCTTATGTAATCACCTAACCATGGGTTAGAGTACTTGATTTTTTGTGGTACCAGCTCATCAGGATCAGGCTTTGTAACTTGATGAGGTATTACAAGCGGAATACTGCCATGCTAATTAAGATAATCAACATTGGTTAAGTTTTTTTTTCCTCATACTCTCACAAAAAGAAAACATGTATTTGAGCACACAATTCTTTGCATAAAATAAATAAATAAATAAATAGTGTTCTCGCTAGTGTCCTTTATTACTGGAGAAGTCACTAGATTTGGGAGTATAACAGGTCATAGGTTAAAGACCTGTTCTATTACAGCAGAAATTTTGTCCTTTCTAACAACAAGAAAATGAGAACTAGATATTAAGTGCCATTGTCTAGATTAGATGGCAAGTTGCAAGTACTCCGGAAAAAACAAAAGGCTTCGAGATATTTTTGACTTGGAGACTAATGTAATCGTCTAAGTTGCAATTACAAATGAGTCATTAGCTCATGTTATGCAAGAAACTAAAACCATTTCTTCCACCAAACTCTGTGCTGTGCAGATGTTAAAGCTCAACTTCATTAGAAGTTAACTGTAGCCAGTAACCTAATTTCAGAAATGTGTACAAGGTTCCTTATGCGGAACTTCTCACCCAAAGACAACAACCCTATAGAGCCTGCAGAACATAATGTATCTATTATTTCTGGATCTATATTCAAACATCCTACTTCCATGTTTTAATGATGTATAAGCCCATATATCTAACTAATCTATCAAATGTTAGTATCTTATGTGGTCCATCACTGGGGGTGGGAGAAGGCAAAAATTCATCAGCACCTTAGACCAGAAGATAGAGATTTGCTTGCTTGGGAGGAGTGCTGTCACTATACTACTTAGATTGAGGAATTAAAAGAACACAAGAGATCAAATGACCACATGAAACCAATCCTCACACAGTTTTTACATTATCATTTCAAAGACTTTCTTCTCAACTGTCAATAGGTTAGTTCCGATGGCAGACTACAAGATTCAGATTCACAACATCATATTCCACCATAATCTAGTGGGTCAAGATATCAAATGGGTAAAGTGGAAATTCAGTAAGCTTCCATATACAGCAAGTCCTTACAAAGCATCTTTCAGCAACAAATGCCTGCGCTTCAGAAAGACCCATAACCTACTTGAATATACTGAGATGATGCCTCTTCATACAGTTTTGCCAGGACAGTACTTCAGAAGACTTCATTTTATTGAGAAGGTCCAACAAGGCAACATGAGATAGCGTACTGAAAAAAAAATCTCTTTGATCTTTGGCAGAATAAATGGATTTTCCCAGGGGGATGGTGAGAGAGAAAATGGGTACATTCTGCAGATTCAGTATATTACTGCTAAATTGCCAGTTTAACAGCTACGCAAGGCAGCAAGCACATCAAAGGGAACAACGGGAATACACAAGCAGAATCTGGCTATACCATCTAGTGCTCTTAATATGCTGCCCAACAGCTAAGAAGCGCACATGAAAAATATTGAGTATATCCAAGAAAATCACAAACTGAAAAAGGCTTTTCTAGTTAGGGGCTGAATTATTTAGTATTTTCTTAACAGCACACACTGAAAAAGTTTTTCTTTATGTTTTTGTAGATAGTGTAAAGCTCTCCAGAAGTTACAGAGGGCAAAGTCCATGTGAAATTTTAAATTTAGATTAATACAATTTCCAAGTGTAATAAAAAAAATGTAGAATTTCAGAAGTCTTAGTTTTGCAGAATCGCTATTACAAATTACATATTAGGATGTTGTTTTAATAGACAACTGAATATACTACCTATTTCACGAAAGCGTCAGGCTCTGGTTACGATTTGCTTTACTCTTCCTGTATTAAAAAAATAATAACTACTTTTATTTTAAGTCAGATAGGCTGGCAATGGATTTCATTTAGCCATGCATCCCTTTCCCCCATCCTTTTCTAAGGATCAGTTTCTTTTGCAGTGTTTCAAGGGCAAACCGTAGGTGCAAGACAGAGCTACAGCAACTTCTAAACGCCCAAAGCATCAGTCCAGTTTCTCTCCTCCTTCAGTAACTAAGCTTGGTTTAATGTAACAGGGGGAATTGAGCTGTCGTGGATTCCACTGCTGCTCGGAGCCACCGTTAGCCTTTGCCTTTTGCTGAACCTGTGACGGGGCTGTCTCCTGAAGACACCCTGCTCTCGCAGCAGCCATCGCTTCTCCCAGCCTGGCCATGCACCGAGGGGCGCCCTGCTCACCACACGCGGGCAGTTTTGGGGCACCCTCCGCTCGCGCCCCGCAGCCCCTGACCCTTTCCCGGGGCTCTGCGCTGCCCCAGGGCGCTCGGCCGAGTCGTGCTTATCCGCTGGACCTGCCCCTCGCTATCTCCCAGCTGCCATTTTCGGCGGGGGCCTTGG